ATGCCCAGTCTACAAAACACTCTTTTAAAAGTTTTCATCTTTTTTTTTTTTCCCTGGAGTGATGAAATAATTAATCTCTGTGGTGAGGGCTTCCTTTTTATTTGGGAAAAGATATTTGCTGTAGGCCTATTGTTTGTGCAGAGATACTAACAGCTCACATTTTTTTTGAGTGTCCATTCATTCATTCAAAATCATTAGGGATGCAGAGTGAGGATTTTTTTTTTTTTTTTAATCAGGGTCTTACTCTGTCATCTAGGTGGTAGTGTAGTGGGGCAATGTCGGCTCATTGCAGCTTCAACCCACACCCCTGTCCAAAAACCCCTGGGCTCAATCAGTCCTCCCCCCTCAGCCTCCCAAGTAGCTGGAACAACAGGCATGAACCACCACACCCAGCTAATTTTGTATATTTTTTACAGAGACTAGAGCTCCCAATGTTGCTCAGGCTGGTCTTGAACTGCTGGCCTCAAGCAATCCTCCTGCCTCAGCCTCTCAAAATGTTGTGAGAGGGCTGAATGAGGATGTTTTTGAGGACTGTGGTAAAGAGCCTCATCATATTCATGTCCTGTATAATCCTCTCCCTTTGAGCATGGGCTGGACCTAGGGACTATTGGAACGCTTTCTTTTCTTTTCTTTTCTTTTTTTCTTTTCTTTTCTTTTCTTTTTTCTTTTTTTTCTTTTCTTTTTTTCTTTTCTTTCTTTTCTTTTCTTTTCTTTTTTCTTTTCTTTTCTTTCTTTTCTTTTCTTTCTTTTCTTTCTTTCTTTTTCTTTCTTTCTCTTTTCTTTCTTTCTTTTCTTTTCTTTTCTTTTTTCTTTTCTTTTCTTTTCTTTCCTTTTTTCCTTTCTTTCTTTTTTTTTTTTTTTTTTTTTTTCTTTCTTTTTTTTTTTCTTTTTTTTTTTTTTTTTTTTGAGATGAAGTTTCACTCTTGTTGTCCAGACTGGAGTACAATGGCTCGATCTTGGCTCGCTGAAACCTCCGCCTTATGGGTTCAAGCGATTCTGCTGCCTCAGCTTTCTGAGTAGCTTGGATTACAGTTATGTGCTACCATGTGTGGCTAATTTTTGTAATTTTTGTAGAGACGGNTTTTTTTTTTTTTTGAGATGGAGTTTCACCTTCTGGGCCAGGCTGAAGTGCAATGGTGCGATTTCAACCCACTTCAACCTCCACCTCCCAAGTTTAAGCAATTCTCCTTCCCAAGTGGCTGGGATTACAGGCGTGTTCCTCTACGTCCAGTTAATTTTTGTATTTTTAGTTGAGGTGGTGTTTCACCATACTGGTCAGACTGGTCTTGAACTCCTGACCTCAGGTGATCCACCCACCTCGGCCTCCTAAAATTCTGGGATTACAGGCATGAGCCATCGTGCCTTGCTGGACCTAGTTGCTATTTTCTAAGTAGCAATAGAATACGTGAAAGTGATGGGATGTCACTTCTGGGATTAGGTTACAAAAAAGGACTGTGATCTCTCTCTCATTTTGTTTTTCTCTCTCTCCGTCTTTCTCCTCCCTAGCCCTGGGGCAAGCCAGCTGCTTCTTATGAAGAGGTGCAAGCGGACAGGAACAGAGGTCTCCAGTCAACAGACAGAGGACCTGAGGCCTGCCAGCAGCCATGGGAGTGAGTTTGAAAGAGGGTCGTGAAACCTGCGAGAGCTGCAGCCCTGGCTGACAGCTTGATTGTATCCTCGTGAGAGCCTGGGCCAGAGGACACAGCTAACCTCATCCAGATTCCGTGAGGAAAAAAAAGTGTATTGTTTATTAAGCTGCTAAATTTGGGGTGATTTTTACCCAACAATAGGTAACGAATACAAGGATATTGCTTATTACTCAAAATCACTATATAAAGCCCCTAAAATATTGAAAGCTGCAACCAGGGAAACACTGAGAGTCTCCAAGAACACTGTGTCTCTTATTAGAGACAGTTAGAAAACCACGTTTTCCTTTTAGTTTTGACCACCAGGAAGTTCAGAGCCAAATGCATGACCCAATTTTAATAACTGTGTTAGCCCCTATGACCTGCTTATCTGTATTCTTATTCCTGGCCTTTCATTTTACTCTGACTTTTTTCTCACTTTTTTTTTTTCTTTTTTTTAAACAAGACGGAGTTTTGCTCTTGTTGCCCACGCTGGAATGCAGTGGCTTGATCTCTGCTCACTGCAAACTACACCTCCCAGGTTCAAGGGATTCTCCTGCCTCAGCCCTCAGAGTAGCAGCTGGGATCACAGTCATGCGCCACCACGCCGGATTAATTTTGTATTTTTAGTAGAGACAGGGTTTCTTCATGTTGGTCAGACTGGTCTTGAACTCCTGACCCCAGGTGATCCGCCTGTCTCAGCCTCCCAAAGTGCTGGGATTATAGGCGTGAGCCACCAAACCTGGGTCTGACTTCTTTCCTTCATACTGATTTTATTAGCTTATCTATATTTTTCTACATGATATGAATTATGGTAAGCCATCTCAAATTCAGCTTACAGAGAAGCAAGGCATTCATAAATTTGTCTTTCTTTCTTGTTTTTTTTTTTTTTTTTTTTGAGACTCTTACTCTATGGCCCAGGATGGAGTGCAGTGGCGGGATCTCGGCTCACTGCAACCTCTGTCTCCCGGGTTCAAGTGATTCTCGTATCTCAGCCTCCCAAGTAGCTAGGATTACAGGCGCGCACCACCAGTTGTGGCTAATTTTTTATTTTTATTTTTAGTAGAAACGGGGGTTTTACCATGCAGGCCAGGCTAGTCTCAAACTCCTGACCTCAAGTGATCCATCTGCCTTGACTTCCCAAAGTGTTGGGATTGCAGGCGTGAGCCACCATGGCCAGCCCATAAATCATTTTTTAAAAATAGTTTTTAGATTTAAAACATAGTTTTGCACATTAAAAAAAAAAAGTTTTGCACAGGTTGAACACAAACTTCCAGGAGGAGGTGGTGGGAAGAATGAGGTCATAAGAGGGTAGCTCAGGAGCCCCAAGCACTGGCCAGGATGATTTGAATTTGGTAAGAAATATCAATTGATAACCACGAAAAAGGGAAAAAGGAGGGCAACTGATTGCCATCCCCCAGAGGGAGGGGCCGGCCGAGAGCTCACCCAGTGACCCACCGTGAGATCCTTGCAACGTGTTCCTGGCAAAGGCTCCCCTAAGTCCCTCCCGCCCGGTCCCGCCCCTCACGCACGCCGCGACGCGCCGCCTGAGTCTCCGCTGGCCAATCCGGCCTCCCTGGCGGTTGCGTGCTCCGCCCCTCTTTCAGCGCCCGCGAGTGCCTTCCTGGCTCCGACCGCATCACTCTTTTCCGGGCGCTTGGGCTGCGCCCCTGTAGCTGCGGGGTGAAGCGAGCGACCAAGCCCGCTGGCGGCGGCGGAGGCGGAGCGGAAGGAGTGGGACGCGGAGCACCGGGCTTTCTGCGACCTGGGGCCCTGGGTGAAGTGCTCGGCCATCCTTGCCTCCAGGTAGCCGGCGTTGGGGAGTGGGCTGGGAGCCGCCGCGCGGGGCGAGGGCTGGGGCCTGGGGTGGGGAGCTTATGGCGGGACCTCGGGCCTGGGGGCGGCGGGGACCGGGCCGCGGGGGAACGGACGGGGTCGGGGCGGGGCCGGGTGGGCGGCAGCGGCTGGGTGCTCCTGCCTCATGGGCGGCCCGAGCCCAGGCTGAGCAGTGAAGGTGGCGGGGCCTCGAGGACGCCGGGGAGGGATGAGGTGACAGAATGCAGCCGGGAGGCCGGGACGGTGGGGGGCGGTCGGGCGGGGACCGCTCTGGGCTGGAGCGCCAGGGTCTGAGGAGCGTGGGTCCCGGCCAGCCTGACAGGTTTCCTGGTTCTCGGGAGGTGGGCTGTGGTGTGGGGCCCTGTCCGCCGCACCCGCGAAGCCAGCGGCCACCTCTGGTCCCCCCATCGCAGTAGCCAAGGGTTTGGGGCCGGCGCGGACTCAGGCGGTTGCGTTTCCCAGAGTCTTCCAGGTGCTAGGACAGGTGTTTCTGTGGTCAGGCCTCTTTGTACTCCAGCGCTAATGAGAATTTGCAGACTTCCTGGGACGGTGACATTTGTGGACAAACCGAATTTGACTCTATTCTGGAAGAAGATAGCGGCACTTAACATATCTGCTTTTTTTGATTTCCCCTCATATATTTCAGTGCGGCAGGAGGGGGAAATGGTCTGAGTTTGGGTCTGAGTTTAAGCTTCATCAGAGTAAAGGACAAGTACGTTACGTGTATGGTGGTGGTTTAGGCATTGGGATGACTTAAACGTTGTTGCTTGTTAGTGTAATAGGATACCCACAACAGATTAAAAAACACGTGCTTTGCTAAACTTGAGCGATTGGTTTGTGTTACTGATCATTTTAGTTTTTTTTTTTAATGTTGTGGTTGGTCTGTTAAGTTTTATTTTTACGCATTAAATTTTCCTAGGCAAGTTACTTTGAAAAAGGGAGGAATTTACATTTTAAAGGTGGCTGCTGTTTTTTTTTTGTTTTTTGGGGAGGATTAAAAACAGAAGTCGAAGGAATGATATCAGAATTGGTAGCTTACGATTTTAACAGAGACTGTCTAATATTGTAGACGTTTGTTAACAGTCATGTTTGAGCAATTTCTTTCCCTGCTGTTGATTGGTAAACTGGTATGTAGACAGAAATGTATAGCTCACTAGTTTATTTCGACTCACATATTGTTGATTACATGAAGAAGGTAGCATTGGGGTTTGTCCTGTTGTTGGTTACAAACTTCAGGGCATGGATCTTTCCACTGAGCCTTCTCATAGACCAGATACTCTGTCTTATTTGCTCTTAAACCAAAATCCTGTAGCTTTTTACAGGGGAAATAATTATCACATGGCCAAATGAAACATTTTGAAAGTGCATTTAAAATGTAGGTATTAGTTTACAGGGGAAAATACAGAGATGTGACAAAAAGCTCACATTTGTTGGTGGTGGTTATTCCCAACAAAGTTAGTAGGCTGATTAGACTCTCAGATATGTGGGTAAACCCACATATAGGTACTGAAGAAGGAGAGCTAAGCAGAATCCTGGCACAATTAAGGCCTGAAGAATATCTCAGTTATTTCCTTTTATATAATCCTTTATATAATCATATATTAGTTTATAGAATTAGGGCTTGGAGAATATCTCAGTTTATAGTGTTACTACTCAGTTATTTCCCTTTATACAATCCTCTATATGTAATCATATATTAGTTCTTAGAACGAGTGCCTAAAGAATATCTTACCACTGTTATTTCCCTATATATATGTATAACTATGCCTTAGTTCATAATCAGAGGAATGCCTAGAGTAGACACAGTACAGAGCATGAATTAAGGAATAAGCAGCTTATAATCGGAGGAATGTCTGGAGCAGACGCAGTGTAATGCATTATTTAAGGGAAAACCGTTATACCAGGACAAGAATCCATGGCCCAGGCGGCAGCGTTCAGTATCGTAAAGATACCCGCTGTTTGGCAGGCCTGGGGCAAGAGCCAGTCCTCCTGATAAAGGAGTTGTAGGACCTTGCCCCAGTTCTTGTGGAAGGCTGCCCTCAGACTGGCAGTCGCACCTTGGTGACTGTGGACTTTATCACCTCTTGTTACTGTGCTTGCTGCTCGAAAAGCATCTTCCTGTAGAACTCATTGGAAGCTGCCAGCAGGTGGCGTAAACCCTGACAGCTCTGTCACTGCTATGTGACTTAAAGCATCCCGCCTAAATCTTCTTAGAAGTAGCTTGCCCATAGATAGAGGTATTGCACCCTGCACCCTCTTCACTGTGCATGGCCCACCTCCATGCCTCAGTGACATAATGGGGGTGGACCCCTTATTGCACATGGCCCTTGCCTCGATGACCTAATGGGAATGGACCCCTTGCTGTGCACTGTCCACCTCCCAGTCTAGGTGACCTAATCGGGGTGGACCCCTTGTCTATTGCTCATGACCCTATCACTATCCTTAAAGATGACTTCACTCACTGCCCTGCCCCCTAAACTATACACAATAAATGCTCACGCTTCTGGACATTCAGGGCCTCACGTGACTCCACTCATAGGTGGTGTGGCCCCTCAAGCCCAGCTGCGTTTTCCTTGTACTTCTGTGTCCTGTCTCTTTATTTCTTGGATCCTGTGCCTCAGCACAGCATAAGGCACAGCCCACGACCCTGTGGGGCCCTCAGCCCTACACAGTACCCTTTGAGAAACATTGAGTATCTTTTATGCAAAATTTTTATGTTATTTCCACTTTGGGAAAGGACTTTTAAACTCATAAGTACCTTCCACCTGAAGTTAGTTGAATGAATAAATATATAAGGAAAACATTATGCAGCAGCACATTTCAAGTATTTAAGAAACAAGAAGAAATAAAAATAACTTTTGATCCTAGGTTAATATGGAATTTAAGCAGAATTATGATCAATTTTAGATTTTTTTTTTAAACAAGTCTAAAATAAATGGATCTTTTAACATTGGGGCATGGAAGGAGTGAGTACTTTATGCTTAAGTTCTTAAAATTGACTTTATTTATTTTTTTTTTTTTGAGACGGAGTTTTCGCTCTTGTTACCCAGGCTGGAGTGCAATGGCGCAATCCCGGCTCACCGCAACCTCCGCCTCCTGGGTTCAGGCAATTCTCCTGCCTCAGCCTCCTGATTAGCTGGGATTACAGG